AGGTAATCAGTGCTGTTTGTTTTGTTTTTAACCATCATCATCTTTATCATTTCTGTCAACACTGTCTAAAAATCCAAACAAAATTAATTTGTCATTTTAAATAAAAATGTGGTTACAGCTTCAGATGTCAGTCAACAAGACGTTTAAGAAACTGCTGAAGGATCTGGGACGGTATGACATGTGAAGAGGAGGAAGAGAAGGAGGAGGAGAATGTTTAAGATCATCACAGATTTAAGAAGGAGAGGGACAAAGTCTATTAACAGTGCAAATATTGATTCTGTTACTGCTCTTTATTTCTATGTAGTTAATATGACCCTGCCCATCACCAAAAATCCAAACATATGATTGGAAGCTCCTGCTGTCACTCACATACTAACAGTAGACAGGTTTCAGGTTTACTGACTGATTTGGATCACCCTGCTGTGTCAAACTTGGATCAGATCTTTACATTGGTTCAGGTTGCACATTCATTTCTGAGTATTTGCACTAGTCTGAGTCACACTCCCTTCTGCTGTTCTTCATAACTCAGTAAAATGTAAACCCACTGACATGATACACATATTGATATCATGCAGTGTGACCAACACACTTAACAAAGAAAGTCATTATTTTTGATGGCTATCCAGATAAAATCTTCAAAAATTCACTTCAAAATCGTGAAAAAGACGCTGCAGAAGTTGAACTTTTTCCTATACCTGTCTTCTGTCATAGGTTGAATTTACCCAAGATGAACTTGACAAAGGAGACACTGGAAAAGGTAATCAGTGCTGTTTGTTTTGTTTTTAACCATCATCATCTTTATCATTTCTGTCAACACTGTCTAAAAATCCAAACAAAATTAATTTGTCATATAAAATAAAAATGTGGTTACAGCTTCAGATGTCCATCCACGCCATGTTCAAGAAACTGACAAACTCTATAGGAAGGTATGAAACTTTATTGCATTAACTTAATGAAAGTTTATTGCATTTCTGAGTAGCCAAACATATTGTGTATTCTGAATTTAAACATATGAATATAACTAATAAAAAATGAAATCAATACCAGGAGATAAAAATGTTAATATTGAAAGAAAAAAAGAAACTAAATTTGAGTTTTCTTTTCTCTTTTCACTCTAATCATCTGTCCAGCATGGAGAAACTCAAAGAAGCAGCAGAAAATTAATGTCCAGGATTTCGAATCACGTGTTCAATCATCACACATGGACCAATCAATCAAGTGTCAACCTTGAATATATAT